GGCACTATGACCTTATCTGCCTTAGCAACACTGGTGTTAGTCATTACAGAAGGCTCACCTGATTCTGTTGAGCCATAACCAAGACCAAAGCCAGTGCCAATATGTTGATCAAGTAAAATCTTTTCCATGGAAGACTGGGCCTTCTGGTAAGCTTTGTACTTAATCTCGAGAGGCTCTATTTCTCTTATTCTCTTGAGAAGAGAAACATTTCCAGTCTCCAACTGATCTCTTTCCTTAATTAGAAGATTGATTTGATCTCAACCTCCTTTTTCAAGTCAAGAATTTCAGCTTTCAACTTACTGTTTTCTTCTGTTATAGAGGAATAAGTGGCTTTGATGGCCTTAAACTCTTCCCAAAATTCTGACATTGAATCAGAATCAAAAGCTAGGCCTACCGAAGAAAAAACTAGATGTAGAAGTAGAGGTTACCTCATCATCAGAATGAGCCATGAGGTATAGATCTTCTGTCTCAGTATCAAGGCAACAGAAGGCCTCATCAGAATCAGATTCAGAACTGGATTCTGTCTCTGACAGGGGGTCTTTCTCGAGCTGTTCTGTCACAAGTGCTTTTCTTCTTCTGGAGTTGTCTTCATACTTCTTCTTTTCTCCATCATGCCCTTGTTTCTTGGACACTCTTGGGTGTGGACATTCTGCTTTGAAATGTCGAGGTTGTCTGCAGTTGTAACAGAGAAGCTCACCACTGCTTTCTGTTGTTTTGACCTTCTGGAGTGGCTTTCTGCTGAATGATGGACTTCTTCCATCTTTAGGATTCTTCATGAACTTATTGAATCTCCTAGCAAAAGCAGCCATATATTCGTCAAATAAAAGTACTGAGGGGTCAAAATCATTTACATTTGATGTGCTGGCAGTGAGGGCTGTAGTGGTCCTCTCTTCTGGTACATCTTCTTTTTCTTCAATCATTTCAAACTCATGAGCTTTGAGATCTGAAATGAGCTTATCAGTGGGATAAGTCTTCACATCCTTGCTGGCTTGGACAACAGCAACCACCTTCATCTTCCATGCTGAGGGCAGTCCCCTCAACATCTTAAGGTTGATCTCCTTGGTGGTGAGTTCCTTCCCAAGCTCAGAGATTTCTCCAGTGAGAGTGAGGAGCCTGTCATACATCTTGGAGATGCTTTCACCAGGAAGAAGCTTGAAGTCATCAAACTTCTTGTTGGCTATAGTCAGCTTGTTGTCCTTCTCTTGCTCATCACCAGCTCCAATGAGCTCAAGAGTATCCCAGATCTCCTTCGCAGTCTTGCACTTCTTTATTCTGTTGAAGTACCTATCATCGATGGACTTGTAAAGAATATCCTTAGCAATGTTGTCCAGATTGTACTTCCTTCTTTCTTCTGTCGTCCACTCAGATTTGGCCTTATTGATCATCTGAGGTCTAGTGTTGTCAATAGCATGTTCAGGGTTGACCTTCTGGTAGCTTGTGAAAGGCCCAATGTTAAGTACTTCCCACATCTCATCATGCAGAGCACAAAGATGTGCCTTCATCCGGATCCTCCAGTCATCAAATTTGAGATCTAAGAACATAAGATTCTTGGACAAAGAGTGATCCGTTATATCAGATAAAAATGAGGTAAAACAGAAAAACAAGTGGATCTTTGTTCAGTAAATAACCTAAGAGATTATTAGAACAAGGAGGCTCTGATACCACTTGTTGGTCCCAGTTGTACTGGATACAGTCTAGAGGGGGGGGGTGAATAGACTATATTGGTTTTTAACTTTTTCAAGCTAAGTACCAGATTTAACAGAATAGCCTGTTCTGTTGACAGAACAGACTGGCAGCGGATGGGGTTCTGGTAGGGAGTTCTGTTAGTAGCCTCAGAGAAGCAAAAGCAGTAGGCCTTCTGTTAACTCACAAGACAAGTTCTGCTGAACACAGATACCAAGTCTTTGGAGTTAGACAGTTCAAATAAAAACAATGAATGTAAAGCAGTAAGTAAATGACACCAGGGCTTTTTATAGTGGTTCAAGGAACAACTTGTTCCTCTAGTCCACTGTTCCACTAAGCTTGTAAAAACTTCCGTTTACAATGCCTTAGCCCTATCACTTAAGAAGCTCTCCACGTCTTCTTCAAGTGTAGATGTCTTCTTGGATGCGCTTCCGGCTTCCCTAAGACTGGTCCTTTCAATGAGCTTTCCCAGAAGTATCACCACTTCACTGCTCCAGGTACTTGGACGTCCTTCTCGTGAAAGAAGATGTTCTATTTAGAACAGAGGTTCCTCCAACTTGCTTCGTTACAAAGAGTTTGTATGTGATGAGCTTGAAGAGTTGAAGAACACTTGGAACTTTGCTTGAGTTGGAAATAAGGATTTTTCCAACTTCTGCCTTCTCTTGTAGAGGATGATGAAGTTTCAATCTCAAGGAGGCTTTTTGCGTTTTAGCGTTTGAGTATCTTGTATGCTGAGTTGTAGCAAAAGTTAGCAAAGTTATGCGGTTGTTCTTCGTAGTGTATCTTTTATACTGAGGTTGTCTTCCCGTTGGAGGAGAAGGAGGACAACTGCATTAAATGAGCGAGCAGTTGACTTGACCAGTAGGACCCAGTAAAGTTGGCGGGTTACTATTTTGGGATAAAATAATCCTGACATTGCGGCCAATCATCTGCAATTACTCTACGGAGTATGGGGATCATTAAATGTGCATTTAATGCGCGTACTGTAGCTTTTCCGTTCAAGACTCCTAGCCGTTGAAGGAATCTTTCAGTTGGTTTCCCGGCTTGGTGGAATTCTTCTAAGTGTCAGGCCTTCTGGTGTCTTAAGAAGAAAGTTGATCAGAGAAGGTCTTAAGCACTTCTGTTGAAAAGATATCCAACAGAGAACCAGGAGGGTTTCTGTCAGAGTAAAGGCTAACAGAGACCCTGAGGTCTTCTGTTCTGGAGCAGAGAACAAAAGGTCCTCTGTTCAATCAACGCCTTAAAAAAAGGTTCCTCTGTCAGGGGGTTTTCTGTCCTGGGGGCTTTCTGGATTGTAGGTCTTCTGCTCTGGAGGCCTTCTGCTAAGTCGAATAACTAAAGAATTTTACAAAGGAAAATTCTAATACATTAAGTCTAAAGAGGGGTACTCTAAAGTCCTAATTAATCTAGCATCATCAAAATCTAATTACAAATATTCCTTACACAATCTGCATATAAATGTCATTGGGGATGGCCTGTAGAAGGTAGGTCTTAGCAATGAGATCTGCTCTGAGTCTATCTCTGTCATCGTCATCGTACTCTTCCACAGTCTTTGATCTCATTTCTTTAATAATTGGAGGGTTGTTTTCTTCATTTTTTTCAACAACAATCAATAGTTGAGCGGGGCCATTCATTATGGAGTCCAGTAGTTCGAATGATTGGTCCTTGCTCTCCAAGAAATTTAGAAAACTGTTTCTCCGCACATTATATTATACTTTTCGCAAAATTGGGGGTCTTGTATCATTGCCGATGGATAGAGCGTCCATGTTTACTTTGATCAGGCTGATCAGTTGATTGTTAAGTTCCTGTTTTTGTTTAAGAATCACTTCATGCAGAAGGTTCATGGTTCGCGCACAAGCTTCATGCAACAGGGAGGTTCGCACAGAAGTTTCACGAAGCAGTAGGATCACGCAAGGCCTTTTCGCGCAAGGGAGGATGTTCGCGCAAAGCCTCTTCGCACAGGGCATTTGCGCAAGACAGCTTGCGCAGCAGGGAGATTCACGCAGGTCTGTTCGCGCAGTGTGAAGTTCGCGCAAGGCTTGTTCTCGCACAAAGAAACTTAACTAATAGTATTTTAGCAAGAGGCTTTGCGCACAACCCCTTTCGCGCAAGAGAAGGAATTCACGCACAAAGACTTCTGCGTGAAAAACTGTTTCACGTTAAGTGCGATGCGTGAACCTGCAACTTCCCACTATTCCCGCTTGACGTGTACGCAGCTGGAAACAATGCAGATGATGCAGAAAATGAATCCCAACAATCACAAAAACATCATCCAGAAGTCATTTTCTGCAAAGACGGTAACAAAACAGTCCAGAAATCGCACAAGTTGCAAAAACTTCGGCGAGGGCGATGAGTTTTTTGCAGAAACTTTTCTTCTCTATGAAACTGTAAAGAAATGATCAAGAAAATGTGTATGAAGCTTTCCATTGATTGAGATGAAGTTTACGGAATGATAGAACTCTTTAGCGCAAAACTTCTCTCTCAATATTGTATACGGCTCAGGTGCGGAATATGTGAAAAACTTACCTACTCGATTCCCTAGAGGCATATTTATAGCCTAGGGAATGAGTAGGTCACAATGATTGAGCTCCAACATTAGGAGGCCCATATTTCAATTTTGAGCCTTTGTCTAATACAACTATTGTACTCATTATTAACTAACAAGAGACTACGTAAAATACATTGATCACATCTATAAAAATATCTTTAACAATATTTGTTTGGTACTTTAATACAAGTATTAATTATTGTTATCTCTAACCATTATCATACATGCACTCTAATAGAATTTTATATCATGTTCTTGTTCTTATACAATAAGTGTGTACATGGTTGTCACCCATGAAATGAATTATGTCACAAATAAAATAACTATCCTTATGACTAGTATTTAATACTTCGGGGTATGTATTAATATTAATATGTTAGGATGTTTTCTTTTGGATTGTAATTTACTGGTCTGGCTTGATCTGGTATGTTTTAGGGTAATGTGGTCTGATATGGTATGTTTTGGTTTGAAATTTTATTTTAACTGAAATATTATTTATGTATTACAATTATAATTTGTAAATAATTAATTTTAATTCATATATAAATTTTGATGCATTCTTTTCCTGCCATTAAGATATAAACAATATATATTAATAATAATATACCAAGTAAATAATAATATTATATTAATGATAATAATCATAATACTCGTATTAAGGATGATGATGATAATAAAATAACAATACTAAAAATAAAATAATAATAATAAAAATATAAATAATAATAATACGGAGATAATAATAATAACAACAATAATAATACGGAGTAGTAAGGAACCTAAAACAGTCCAAAACGTCCTTATAGGGTGCAGCGATTTCAATCCTCGTTTTGGTCCCAGTCCCTGAACAAAGGGCAAGTTGCAACTCGTAATTCAGCCACAGTTGCCGCGATTGGGAAGAGAGAAGGCTTCCAAAGCAGAATTGAGAAAAGGAAATAAAGGCAAAGTCACTGATAAATTTTTGAAGCTCAAGCTCTTCAACGATGTACGGAGGAGGTAATGTCTCCAGAAAATAGTAACCAGCGGGTGGCGGGGCCCGGGAGGGTCCGCTATGTGTGTTAAATCCAATTATTATTATTATTATTATTATTATTATTATTATTATTATTTTTTGCATTTGCAGATGAAGTTTCGGCCATTGTCATAGACTTGGGTTCCCATACTTGCAAGGCTGGTTACGCTGGAGAAGATGCTCCCAAAGCGGTCTTCCCTTCCGTATGTTACAGCTAACCCCACTGTTTCACTTCTAATTTTTTGAAGCCTTAACTTTACAATGATGATACAATGTATTAACCGTTGGTTAGTTTTTTGGTATATTTTCTTCAAAGTCTATGACATTACTACAATTTTTCTAGAACGTTGTGTATACAGTTAAACGCAAATGTGAAATCTAGAGCTTTAGCCGGAATGATCTGAGAAGTCGTAAAAACGTGGAGCGGTTTGTACGCTTTCATTGGGTTTAAAGTCAGTGATGTAAAAAGCTTGAACAACACAACTAAAACGTGCAAATTAGGACTTGAAGGAAATGATGCCTATTGTTGGCCAGTGGCCTGCTGCACTCCTTAACGGGCAAAACCGTCATAGCTATTGAAGCATGTATTCCTTGATGCTTAAGCTGTTCCAGAAGCGAGTTTCTTTCTTTATAACAACATCCAAGCCTTAGCCCCAGAAGCAAGTTTATTTCTTTACAACAACATCCAAGCCTTAATTCCAAAAGATTTTGGGGTCAGATAATATGAATAGATACATGATGTTGGAGCCAAAAAGAAAAGAAAGATAAGAAATGAAAGAAAGATATGAAAGATAAGGTAAGATAAATAGGATAAGTTTCTTTCTCTAAATGCAAAAAAAATTCTTTTCAAATTTGCAGTGCTACTGTTTACCAAATACGAGTATAGTTATTATAGGCTGTATGTTAACCAATTCCAAACTCTTTTGGGAATAAGGCTTGAATATTGTTGTTGTTGTTGTAGTTATTATAGGTTGTACAGAAGGTTAGAAGCTGCATTTAGTTGGTCTTAGTTCTATATCATGGAGTATGTGTCTTTATCTTTATCTTTATGGGTTGCTTCAACTCATGTGATTTTTTTCTCTCATGTAAAGATTGTTGGATCAATTGATCAAATGGAAGTTGATAATCTTGATAATCGAGATAACAATTCTGGCCCTGTCCCGGACCCTAAACCCAAGGGTAAGCGCAAATTGTATGTAGGATCTCAAGCAATGGGTTTCCGCAGGGATTATATGGAGGTCAGTTTACCTAATTCTGATGTTCTGAAATATAACAAGTAAACCCTTCCTTATGGCATGATTGCCGCACATCGTTTCTCTTCAGGCACTATCACCCATTAAGGAGGGAATAGTTGCTGACTGGGATATTGTTGAAAACATTTGGGACCATGCCTTCAGGTTTAAACCATTTATGTTGTTGAACACTTCCTTGTGTTTTTTCATCTTGTACCTAATAACTTGCATTGGAAACTTTCTGTCAACCTTATATCTTCTTGCTTAAACCAGGGAATGCTTGCTAATTGATCCAAAAGAGCATCCCATGCTATTGGCGGAGCCATGTTCTAATACTCAACAGCAGAGAGAAAAGTCAGTTTTCGGTTAACACTATTCATTCATTATGTCCTGTATGGCCAAAGTCATTATATTACTCTCTTGGTTCCCTTTTAATCTTTACACTTACATTTTTTATCTGTCCCAAAATAATGTTCCTCTTTTATTTGAAGGAAAGAATGCATGGTTCATAATCATTTAATGTCTTTCAGAATTAATCTCAACCACACAATTCCATTTTCTTAAACTGTGTGCAACGTCAAACTGAGAACATCTTTTGGGAAGGGAATATTTAACTGATAATCTGAAAGTACTTGACCTTCAAGGATAACACAGTCTACTTCAGGTTGTTGTTCCACAGCGCACATTGTTAATTCTGATCCCTAGATATAATGAGTATACATAATATACTACACAGAAATGTGATCTTTGCATATAATTCCTCATTTATCTTCTGTTCTAGTAATTAATACGGAGTAATTATTAAAATATACCATAATACAGCTGATTGGTTGCTTATTTAACAGGGCAGCAGAGCTTATGTTTGAAAAATACCAAGTCCCTGCTCTGTTTTTGGCCAAAAATGCCGTGAGTTTTTGCATTGTCTCGACCCCAAGACATTAAATCTTTCTCACCTTAACTTAAATCTTATTCAAGATTGTGTTCAAGTGTGTTATTGCTACATGACTGGTAATTTTCTGTTAACATCAGGTTCTGACATCTTTTGCATCAGGACGAGCCACCTCCTTGGTCGTAGATAGGTAGGAGATTTCGAACTTCTTGCGAGACAACAGTCATGGACTCAGTGGTTACTAGTTACTTCTTTGACATTATTTCTTTGCAAAACAAAGAGTCCATGTGTGCTTTAAAATATTAGAGATGAGAACATATCACTAAGTTGTTGATTTTTCATCAATGCTTCATCAACAAAACACTTATGGAACAATATACAATAATATACTTTTGTATTTTCCTCATTTCATCACTGTGCAAATATATTATGATATATTTAGATTATTTACTTGTAACACATTCTAATTCTATTCAGTGGTGGAGGATCAACTACTATTGCCCCCGTGCATGATGGATATGTTCTTCAGAAGGTATTTCCATTCTAACATTTGTAAATGAATAATGAATTTTCAGAATGCCAAACTGTTGCTTGCTTTCCATTTCCCAACATACCAAAATTCTCTTAATCTATCTTGCTAGCTTGCAATTTGTTTATTTATTTTCAGCGTTTCCCTTTACTTATTGCCCCAATGCTTCATAATTTGACAATAGGCTGTCACAACATCTCCTATTGGAGGAGATGTTCTTACTGAATGCTTGATGAGAAGTTTGGAGCAAAAGGGTGTCTTTGTGAGTTACTTTTTCATTTCACGTTGCATTCTTAGACATTATTAATGACTTAAGTAGTTAATTCAGATGACCCAAATGTATCATATTATGATGATCACTGATTTTCTTTTTCTCCGTTTGTTGAACACTACAGATAAAGCCTCGATATTCTTTCAAAAGAAAAGAAATTAGGCCTGGAGAATTTCAGGTTCAGTTCTTTGCCTGACCCATATATTACTAAGCACTGGCTCTGCGTTCCTCCAGTTCTTTAAAGCTTATATCTTGGTATCTCTTTATTGTGTGTGCCTGGTAATCAATTGATGTAAACCTTATACTCAAGGTTTAAAAAGGTTAGTTCGGGTATCGAGGCAAAGCGTAAGCATGGGGCGTATTGAGGCGTAAGCATCAAAATATACCAACATTTAAAACTTAAAATAGTTAAACTTGTAATAAACAACTAAAGATACGCATAATGATAAGCATGGTTGTCGAGGGCGCTAAATGGCGCGTGCGCCATGCGCCATGAGGCACGCTCACCTCTGGGCCATGAAAATAGGTCGTGGCAATGAATATACCACTGACGACGCCATTTGGGCGCCATCGCCATTTGAGCTCCATCGCCATGGCGACGGGCTACTCCCTCTGTGTTGCCTTCGTATCATCTGGATCGAAGCATCTGGAATCCATGGGGAACGTTCAGAACTTTCAAGCATCCCCTTCGAATCCGTTGTTCTCTGCAGTTCAATTATTCCCGGCGACCTCCATAGGGCATCAAGTCACGACTCGCCAGGCGACGTACACTCTCTGCGTCGAAAGTTGTAATTGAATCCCCTGTTCTCCATGTGTTGTTTGTTCCCTTCCGAAACAGGCACGTTAAAATGTTCAATAACTTAGGTTTTTCATTCTATTTTATTGATTACTTAAAGTAAACTAATAAATAGCTTAAGTTATTATTAATACCATTTACGATTACTTGAAGTATTCGGTAGGCTTACCACAATTTTTTTTTATTATTAATTATTAATTCAAAATAAAGTTACCTTTGAATATTCTGTTTATTATAGATATTAACAATTTATTACATATTATATACTCCGTATGTTTAATAGATCACATAGTTGTTTACTTATATTATTATAAATAATTAAAACAACTTAGCTTTTTTATTCTGTTTAATTGATTACATCAGCTATTTTATTATTAATAGATTATTTTAAGTTATTAAGTACCTAAAATATTTGGTATAATGTATGAATTATATTTAATTTGTAATTATATACCTACACATATGTTGTAGGAATACACACACAGGATATTACTATCCGAGTTATGATCCTATGATTTACAATCCTTAATTCAACTTTCGATCCTACATAGGATAATAGGATATTTAACCTCATGTTTTGGTTAGAATGTTGTTATTCAACTTGTTTTATCATGTTTTGGTGGTTGGGTGATACAATTATATTGTCTATAATTCATATTTTTATTTTTTATTTGTCATGTGGCGACGTCATATTTGCGCCATCGCCATCTCCATGGAAAAATGCCTATGCGCCATCTAACAACAAGTGCCTATCAGCCATCGCCATGCGCCATGACAACTATGATAATAAGTCCAAAAAGTCTTAAAAACAAACACATATATGATCACATCATCAAACATGATAATTCAGAATGAGAATTCAAACACATAAACAGACACATTACACAGATGACAATTTAGAACTCTCAAAGCTTAATCATCATGACTGGAAAGTCTTCAGAAGATCATTATATCTTATAGCCTTATCACCATCGTCCTATCCATCATCACTATCAAAATCCTTAAATTCTTCCTCTTCATCATCATCATCATTTACCTCCATTACTTTTTACTTTTCTTATTTTTTACTTGGTTACCCATCTGCTTCTTTGTTGGCTTCTTTGTGCAGGAGTAAGAAAACTTCTTTGTGCAGAAGTATGAAAAAAACTTAACGACACTGAGAGTGATTAATAGAAAGTATATGTTAGGGTGTAAATGATTTTTTTAATGAAACAAGACTTGTTAGGGTTTAGTGTGGATACATATTTAATGTATGTGCCTTTTATTTAATAAGAAACAGTGGGCCTTATATAAAACGGTGGACCCTTTTTAAGTCACAACCACATTAAAAAGACAAACCAAGAAAAATTGCCTCAGTAAAATGCCTCAAGGCACACCTCAGGTATATGCCTTAACTTTTGAGGCATAAGCCTCTGATCTTGCATAAAAACCTAAGCCTTGAAACCTTCTTTGTGCGCCTCACCTTGAGGCGCGCCTCAAAACGCGCCCTGTAAGAGCCTCTTTAAACTATGCTTATACTGTTAAAGTTCTCTATTGGAGGGGAATGCTCTTCTGAAGTTATCCTTTTATTTTCTTCTCTAGTAAAAAGGAAAGCTTGAAACCTTATTTTTGTGTTTCAAATGTCTAAACTTGTGATTCAGACTTTGAAAAAAGCATACTGAATAGCTAAGATAGAGCAATTGTGATTGGGAGTGGGGTGATATAAGAACGATTCCCCATGCCAAGAAAATATTCCAAAGTTTTTGCTTAGTGATTGCAATAGATTTCTTTTTGTTTTCTTTTTAACATACATTACACCTATCACTTCTATTCATTCAGACAATGGATCTTGACTTTCCTGATACAACAGAAAGTTACAAATTCTATTGCCAGGTAATTTACTTGTTGGAACCCTTCTGCTCAATTAGCGCAAGATTTTTTTGAGTACTGAATTGTCATTTTCTTATCACAGAAAGTTATTGCCAGTGATATCAAAGAATGTGTGTGCCGAGCCCCAGATACACCGTATGATGGTCTGTGCTAATCTTGTGTTGAATGCTATATGCACACTTTGTTATTTCAATTTGATCTAGCATTTCTCTGCAAGCTTCAATGAGGAGTTATATTATCAATGAAACGATGATACATGCCCTTTGCATTTATCACCTTAATCCCGATCAGTATAGTGTCAGTTAATTTATATAGCCAAGATGAGTTAACACTTGATAGTTAATACTATAACTTCATGTAACAAAATCATAGTGGCAGCGTTTTGCGCTAAATTGCCTTTATGTCGCAACCTTCTTGCGAAGAAGGAAGAGTGAGATGACGCGAAACTGGAAACACGAAACATGGGAAATACTATTTTTAAAAGAGCTAATTCCAGAAATAGTCCTCGATTATTTAGATAATACCCAATTTAGTCCCATATTAATTTGGTGAGTATTCATCCTTCAAATACAAGCTCTGACCGTTAACATACAATCGGAGGTCATATTTATAGCCACAATTGCAAAGTAGGAGAGTCTCAATTAAACGAGAAGATGAAGATTACAGTTCTTACCTAATTTCAGCTCTCACCGTTACTAGATTCATTTCAAGATACACGTAGTGTCTTGTAGGAGAATTAAAAAGTGACGGATAAGGATTTTGATGGCCTTATAAATGAGTTGGCTTGTATTTGACTTGAGAAAAAATGGGAGAAATTAAGGAAGAACTAAACTTGGTAAAAAAGTGAATATCATCTAAAAATTAATACTCTAAGACTAAATTGGGTATCGCCTCAATACTGCAGGACTTTTTCTGGCAATGATCTCTTTTAAAAATTATAGAATATGACACGTGGGAGAAGCAGTTAAGTACTACTCCCTCCGTCCCGCTAAGATTGTCCCATTTTTCCTTTTCAGGAAATCCCACTAAGATTGTCCCATACCAAATCTGGTAAAGTTTGTGTGGCTCTAAGTCATTTTTATTTTATTTTTACTTTATCAATTCAATATCAACCACATAAACTCACTTTTCTTAATAACTGTGGCACCCCCTCATGTCCCAATGTTAGTGCGACGGAGGTAGTACAAAATATAAAAATATACTTTTAAATATTTTATCATATATATGCATAAAATTTTCATATATATATGTGTGTGTGTGTGTGTGTGTGTATTTCATATAACTTTGCTAAATTACTAGAGGAAAAATAGTCTACATGTTTTAATATAGAAATAATACATAATAAAATTTGAAATGCAATACATTTCTCGCAATATATTGCGCTACAATCACAAAAGCCATGTTGTTATGAAGAAGTCATTTAGAATTCCATTAAAAAATTCCATACAGATACTAATTTCTATCAAGAAATCCCATTGTAAAAAACTGGGAACTCAAGGTTTATTTTACGCTAATTAATTCATCATTTTCATCATTTTCATTTACCCCAGTGCCGCAAAGGCTCCCACCTACGGTGGGGTAAGGGGGGTCAGATGTACGCAGTCTTACCCATGTACTAAAGTACAGAGAGACTGTTTCCGGATGACCCATAGTGAAAATCGCGTCCAAAATTGTATGGACTGTCTGCTGCTCCATAACAAAGAAGCGCAGACAGTTTAGTGAGCCATTTTGCTTTATTCCATCATAATCTCAAGCAAAAAATAATGAATCTCAAGCAAATAATGAATTTTACGCTAATTAATTAGAGAAACAAATTTCTTAATTCTGTTTAGTTACGGAAACGGCCTAGAAACGTAATTTGAAGTTTCCAAATCTCCAAAAGACCGAAACAGCGTTACATGAGCTGTGGGAAGTTTATGTGCTTCTCTGGTGAGATGATATTTTAAGACCGTCATCATCATATGTTATTTCCAACAGCAAGGAGAATATAATGAAATTATCATGAAATGAGATATTTTTTATTCCATGTTCTTTACAATATCGATATGTGCCTTTCAAGGTTAATATTACTCCCTCCGTTCCATAAAACTTGGCCAAAGTTGACTTGCACGTAGATTAATAAAGTAAAAACTGTGTGGTTGAAATTTGTGCAAATGAGAGAGAAACTGTGTGGTTGAAACTGTGGGACGGAGGGAGTATATCTAACCACATTTGGCATTTCCCTGGTGGAAATATCAAATTCCTTATCAATCAAGTCTAAAATAGCTCTCATCCAACTCATGCCCATTGGTAAAAGTAGATGATGAAAGAATTAGTTGTAATTGTACTGTGCTACTAAAGTTTAAGGAGGTGTTTGGAACTGATTCTGATTCTGCTTCTTTTTTAAAGCTGAAGCAGAATCAGAATCAGTTTTCAGAAGCTGGTCACCCCCAGCTTCTAAAAAAACCGATTCTAGGAGTAAATTATAGCACCAAAATCACTTCTGCACTTTTACCCAAACACTCCAACTTCTGCTTCTGCTCCCTGAAGGAGCAGAAGCAGTTTTAAGAATCAAATCAAAACACCCCCTAAATAGTGAATTTTGGTTTGTGATGATCTGCTATAGACCTATAGTTGATACATACATAAACTGATAAAAGTAAGGAAATAAATGGGTCCTTTTGTCTTAAGTTCTTGTGTGTAAATGAATAATAGCCTGTTTGTTCTTGCAACTCCATATGTTTTTGTTTATGATGGTCTGCTATAGACCTTTAGGTGAGACATACTTAAAAGTAAGGAAATAAAAGATTCTTTTGGCTCAAGCTCTTGCGTGTATAGCTATTATATGGAGTTCCTGTTTGCTTTTGCAGCTCCAAAAACTTATTGATATTTTATAATCTTGCAGATAGTTCTTACTCAAATATTCCAATGACACCTTACGAGCTCCCTGATGGGCAGTAAGTTTTTTACTTCAGAGGGTGACTTGTCAATTCATTTGGATCTCACTTTCTTTCAACACCAAACTATCTTTCTTCCTGTGCCAGAAGTGCATTTACTGCTATTTGCCCCTTTTGTTCTTGCTATTAGTTTTGTCAAATTGCCATTTGACTAGGCTCTTTCTTTTGCATTATGACATAGGACAATAGAAATTGGAGCAGACAGATTCAAGATCCCTGACATATTATTTAATCCTTCTCTGGTTCAGGTTGGTACAATCAAGTTTCAATGTATGTTGATTTAAGCTTCACACTATTGATCGTGGGATGCTATATTTTTATTTATTTATTTATTTATTTTCAATCGATGTGTATCTCAGACCATCCCTGGTATGGAAAATTTTTCCGAGACTACAGGTTCCCTCCGTGGCCTGCCACAAATGGCAAGTCCTCTTTCTCTGTTAATGTGATCTTTGATAAGCTCAGCAGACTCTACTTTTTCCCTTCAAAGAAATGATTGATGATTATAATATTTCAGGTGATTGAGAGCATAAACAGGTGCGATGTTGACATCCGAAGAGAACTCTATAGCAGTATATTGGTAAAACCTCCGAGTATTATTCTTATAATGCTCTAATTGTTGTTTTCTTCTGCACGTTCCCCACCTTTTCCATTGATGAATGTTGGTTGCCATTGATATAGTGTTTTGACCTTAGCTTTGTGTTTTAACTTTATTTAATTATTTTTTTATTTATGAAAATATAGTTAGTTTAAAGTTGTTTTCCTCGCCAGGGTATCTGGATTAAAATTGATTTCATTTATTAATGGCATATTGCTGTGGTTGGTTCATTAGACTTTATTAACACAATGCTTATAATTTATAAATCAATAGACACATTAGTTGATATGCTGTGTATAAACCATACAGCTTGCTGGGGGAACAGCATCGATGCAACAATTGAAAGAACGCCTTGAGAAGGATTTGCTTGAGGTATTCCCTTACACCCTCCTCACTAAAAAACATGTGTATTTATTAATTTGTGAGATGAGTTTGGGGGTAGTGAAAGGTCCTGGAAAGGGAGTACTATAAATTTGGGAACAATGCCGCGTATGTGAAGAAGAGCAAGTTACACTCATTTATTCTCTTGAATGGCGATCCTAGCATTCTTCAAACCTTTCTTGCACCTTTATTTGCCCATATCCTTGCATTAGTATTTACTTATGAAATATATTACTCCCTTATTCCTTTTCTCTCATTTCATTTGTCCTACTTCTTTTATCACTCTCAAAATAATATCCACTTTTTTCCATCATTTGCAATGGAGCCAAAGATTCATTATTTTTTGGCTTGAGATTATGATGGAATAAAGCAAAATGGCTCACTAAACTGTCTGCGCTTCTTTGTTATGGAGCAGCAGTCAGTCCATGCAATTTTGGACGCGATTTTCACTATGGGTCATCTGGAAACAGTCTCTCTGTGCTTTAGTACAGGGGTAAGACTGCGTACATCCGACCCCCCCTTACCCCACCGTAGGTGGGAGCCTTTGCGGCACTGGGGTAAATGAAAATGAAATGAAAATGATGAAAATAATATCCACTTTCTTGATTTAAAATCTAAAAATTATTTACGTTTTCTAATTACCATTTATATAGAGGCTCAACCTTCTCCCATGGCAGTCAAAATCACGAGTTTACTCATAGGATCCTGTAGCCTTGTGATCCCATTTCTACTGAAGATTGGTAAATGATAAGACTTAAGAGTTGCTGGGATCGGCGTGCTTAATTGTTGGATCGTAGAGTCATAGTTGAATTGTGATTCATTCCTATTAGATGTAAGAAAATTTTGAAAGACTTCTGACTTTTAGGAAACATCATAAACAAGAATTCTGAATCATCAAAACCTGAGGGAAACGTGCAAGTTGAACTAAGGGTATGAGTTTGGGGGGAGGGGGAAGGGGAGATCTTGAAGATTAGCCCTGAGAGGGGAATGGGAGGGGAAAGAAGAGAAACCCTTTTTTTGTTTGGGAGTTGTAAATTTGAAACGAGAGTGGCTACGATAATTATAATCCAAATCGCTTAAGATTTATATCAAATTCAAATAGTTGAACGTTTATTCATTTCAAATTGAGCTAAAATTATCATTTAGTTGGTTATTCTTCAAAAACCTCCAAATTGGGGAAATTTAAAAATTGAACATTTGAAGGGTTTTGGAGCGTTACAAAAGCCCTCCAAAACCTTCCCCTCCATTTTTTTAAACTCCCAAACAAGACAGGGATGATCATAAACCCTCCTCAACCTTCCCCTCCCCTCCAAAACTTTACTCCCAAACATACCCTAGGTGTACTAATAATGTTGACACAAAAAAACGGACGATGTACTAATATTAATGAATTTTGCTTGCCATCTTAGAGTAGTCTTTCGGTCAGGTCTTCCTGACCGGAACCGCAGTTCAGACGGTGGCGTTTGGCCCTTTTCCCGGTGGAATTTTTTAATGAAAATTTTTGGGCATGTTCTTCATCAAGTCTAGTTTATCCACAAAAAATTCAGCTAAAAATTCAATCGGGAAGACAGTCAAATAATTTTTGGAAGATAACTGCGCCAAAATATACATATAAAAACGTAGTTATCTTCTAAAAATTATTTGATTGCCTTCCCGATTGAATTTTTAGCTGATTTTTTGTGTGTGGATAAACTAGACTTGATGAAGAACATACTCAAATAATTTCATCAAGAAGTCCACTGGGAAGTGGCCCAAACGCCGCCGTCCGGATGATGGTTTTGGTCAGGAATTCCTGACCTGAAGTTTTCTCTATTTATATGTGTGTATATATATATATATATATATATATATATATAGAGAGAGAGAGAGAGAGAGAGAGAGAGAGAGAGAGAGATAGGTTCAGGTCTGGAATTCCGGCCGCCGCCTTTTCAGGTGGTTCCCTTGGATATTTTTAATGATTTTTTTATTAGCATGTTCTTCATGAAGTGTAAATTATGTCCACCAAATTTCAATTAAAAATACAACCGGGAAGTCGGTTAAATAAATTTTTGAAAATAACTGATTTTTTAATGTATATTTTGGCGCAGTTATTTTCAAAAGTTTATTTAATTATCTTCCCGATTGATTTTTTAACTGAAATTTGGTGGACATAAAATTGACTTGATGAAGAACATGCCCAAAAAAATTCATCAAAAAATTCCACCCGAAAGAGCCCTAGATGGCCTTGGCCTGACCGGAAGATTACTCTATATATATGTCCATGCACATTTGAACACACACACACACACATATATATATATATATTATATAAACACACATATATTTATGTATACACACATATATGCATAAATACATATTTGTATGTGTGTATTTTAGGATCTTACGATCTGAGTTACATTCCTACACTTGAATAAAAGAGAGTTAAAGGAAGAGAATAATTTTATGGTTGTGTGTCTGTCCACAACCTTGAACTCCTTTATTTATAATAAGGAGTGTACAAGTACATTAATGAGAGTGAGGAGATGAAAGGTCAAAGAAGATGAAAGATCAGTTCTAGAAAATACAGAGGAGTCTATTTTAGCTACCAATAAATCTTGATAAATCTAACACTCCCTCTCAAGCTGGAGCATACAAATTAGATGTACCAAGCTTGGAACAAATAAATTCAATTCGAGGACCTCTCAAAGACTTTGTCAACACATCTGCAAGTTGATTATTGGACCCAATAAATTCGGTGCTGATTTCTTTAGACATCAGCTTTTCCCGAACAAAATGACAATCGATCTCTATGTGTTTGGTTCTCTCGTGGAACACCGGATTTGAGGCGATGTGAAGGGCAGCTTGGTTATCACAATAAATCTTCATTTGTTGAACCTTACCGAACTTTAACTCTTGAAGAAACTGTTTTACCCATATGAGCTCACAAGTGAGAGACACCATTGCCCTATATTCCGCTTCAGCGGAGGATAGGGCAACTACATTTTGTTTCTTGCTTTTCCAAGAAATAATATTTCCTCCAAGAAAGACACAATATCCTGTAGTGGATCGTCTATCCACAGGAGACCCTGCCCAATCAGCATCACAATACCCTAGGATTTGAGTGTTTCCTTTGTCTTCATAGAGCAAGCCTTGTCCTGGAGCCTTTTTTGTGTATCTTAGGATGCGAATGACAGCGTTCCAATGCTCAGTGTATGGCGCTTGCATAAACCGACTAACAGCACCCACCGCAAATGATAGATCCGGTCTAGTGATAGTGAGGTAAATGAGCTTCCCAACCAATTGTCTATACCTCTCTGGATTAGAAAACACCTCTCCCTGTTCTGGCAATAACTTTTGGTTCGGGTCCATAGGACTATCTACGGGCTTACAATTGATCATTCCCGTTTCTTTTAGCATATCAAGAGCATGTTTCCTTTGAGAGATTACAACACCTTCTTTTGACTGGGCCACTTCAATACCCAAGAAATATTTGAGACTCCCAAGATCCTTGGTCTGGAAATGACTGCCCAAGTGTTCCTTCAAGCGAGATATTTTTGCAGCATCATTTCCTGTAATAACAATGTCATCCACATACACTATCAAGTAAACACATTTACCAGGAGAAGTGTGGCAATAAAATACAGAATGATTTGGTTCACTACGTTTCAGCCCAAACGCTTGAACAACAGAAGTAAATTTTCTGAACCAAGCTCGTGGAGATTGCTTTAGACCATAAAGAGAGCGGCGTAAGTTGCACACCAAACCAGACTCCCCCTGAGCAACAAACCCAGGAGGTTGCTCCATGTAGACCTCCTCATCCAGATCACCATGTAAGAATGCATTTTTTATGTCTAGCTGATAAAGTGGCCAATGACAAATGGCTGCCATGACACAAAAGAGACGAATAGTAGGCATTTTGGCCACTGGAGAAAATGTATCACTATAATCAAGGCCATAGATCTGGGTGTATCCCTTGGCAACTAACCGGGCTTTGAGACGATCCACTTCTCCATTCGGATCAACTTTAATGGCATAAACCCATCGACATCCAACTGCTTTCTTTCCTGGTGGAAGCGGAACTAATTCCCATGTTTTATTATGTTCAAGAGCCTGCATTTCTGCAATCATGGCTTGTCGCCATCCAGGATGATCAAGTCAAGTGCTTCTTTCACATCTTTGGGAATTGTGATTGAGGAGACGGAGGATATAAAGTTACAATAGGAAGGAGTAAGTCTATGATAGCTAAGGAAATTGTAAATAGGATGTGGATTACGGGTAGAGCGAGTACCTTTCCTGAGAGCAACCGGCCAAGCTAAATCATCATTATCAAGAATTGTGGAAGAGGGTGATGATTGAGAAGGATCTGCTGAAGAGGGCTCACTTTGAAAAATTGAATTGGTTTGTCGGGTCCTACGTTGGTAGGCAATAAGAGGAGGACTTTGGTTGGTTGAGTCGTCTACCGGATCTAAAGGAGACTGGTTGGGAATGGAGTCATTGACAATAGACAGAACAAAGGGCTCAAGAGATGGTATAGGGAGAACTTGCTGGACAGATTGATCTCTAACTGAGAAAAAAGGAGTTCGTTCAAAGAAAGTGACATGGACAGACATATAGTATCTCTTATTCTCAGAGGAGTAACAACGATACCCTTTTTGAAGACGGGAATAACCTAAGAAAACACATTTGACAGCCCGAGCCGAGAGTTTATCTAATCCTGGAGACATATCATGAACAAAACAGACACAACCAAACACACGAGGGGAAACATGAAAGAGAGGTTCATTAGGAAACAAGACAGAATGAGGGATTTTATTATTAAGAGAAGAGGATGGCATTCTGTTAATAATAAAGCATGCAGTAGAGACAACATCTCCCCAATGATGAACTGGTACATTGGCACCAAGTAATAAAGTACGGGCAGTCTCAATCAAGTGTCTATTTTTCCTTTTCGCTACATCATTTTGTTGAGGTGTATGAGGACAAGTGGATTGGTGTAAAATGCCATGTGAGCTTAAGAGGGAGGAAAAACCAGAGGAGAAATATTCCTTGGCATTGTCACTCCTTATAATTTTCATTACTGTTCCAAATTGATTGCGAATTTCATTAAGAAAGCAGGAAAAGATAGACAAAAGTTCAGAACGGTCCTTCATTAAATAAACCCAAGTACACTTGGAAAATTCATCAATGAACGTGACAAAATATTTGAAACCAAAAGAGGAAACCCGACTTCCCCAAACATCAGAATGGATAATAGAAAATGCAGCATTACATCTAGACTCAGAATAGCTGGGAAATGAAGATCTAACATGTTTCCCGAGTTGACAAGACTCACACTCTAAGGTTTGAAGACCGCTGAGTTTAGGAACCATTTTCTTTAATTTTGCTAAATGTGGATGCCCGAAACGTTCATGCAAGAGTTTGGGAGGAGTAGCTAGACAAGAGACGGGTGATTTGTTTCCAAAATAGTAGAGGCCTCTAGATTCATATCCTTCTCCAATCATCCGACCCGTTCCACATTCCTGTATAACAAATGAATTAGCATCAAAGGTTACAGTACAGTTAAATGACTTTGCTAATTGGCTTAATGAAATGAGGTTAAACGGACATGTGGGGACAAAAAGAACAGATTTTAAGTTCAAGGTAGGAGAAAGGGATACTTGGCCAATTCCTTGGGAATCTGTTTTGGATCCATCTGCCATGGTTATAAGATGTGGGTGTTTAAGATGTGAGAGAGAAGAGAACAGAGAAGTATTACCAGAAATGTGGTCAGAAGCACATGAGTCAATTATCCATGGATTTTGACTTTCTACTGATTGTGAAACGCAAGCAGTTGATGTAAGCGGAGTTTTGGAAGATTCTGCTGAGTTGTTGGACTTTAGTCTCAAATACTCTTGGTATTCCTCACCAGACAGTTTTGGATCAGAAACTTCAGAAACTTTAGATTTAGAGAAGTTGGCGGTTTTATTAGGAACCCATGAAGAAAGTAGCAGTTCTCATGGGTGTGACCCATTCTTTTGCAATGGGTACATTGGGGACGTCCTCTTCCTGCACGTCCTCCTCTGTTTGCACGTCCCCCTCTTCCATGAAATACCATGGCTGAAAACTCTTCAGGTTCTTGAGACTTGTCACCCTTGAGAGTGGGAATCCGAAGGAGACGTGTTGTTAAACTGTCCATGGTTGGTACCTCAGATCCAATAAGGATTTGATCTCTAACGTGATCGAAATCAGAGTTCATGGCTCGGAGGATCATTACCATATAAAATTTATCCAGTTTCTTCTTGGTTTCCTCTACAGATTCAGCTTCTAAGGACATCTTCAGTTCTTCGGCAGCAGCTTGCGCTTCGGCAATGAACGACATCATATTGTGATCTGTCTGTTTAAGAGATGCTAACTTGTCGGCAACATCATATAGGCGCTGAATATCATTTGCAAAGATCTCCTGGACTTTCTTCCAAAAAATCTTGCAAGTTTTGAAGGTTCTGAGGGTCTCTAAACTATTGGGTTCTACAGACTGCCATAATAGAGCACACAACTGGTAATCTAACCTTTTCCATTTTTCAGGTTCTTCCTTGATCTCATTTTCATCTTTTTCAAGATGGTCATGGTACCCTTGTCCCAGAAACCAAAGTTCCACAACAGCTGATCAAGACATATAATTTTCCTATTAAGCTTCTCTGAAGTGATAGAAGGAGTTCCTGAGAAGAGTTGGGTTGGACCGGAAGCCATATGGAAACGACGTTAGGTCTGCGACGATGAGCAGCGGCCAGGGCTGATACCAACTTGAATAAAAGAGAGTTAAAGGAAGTGAAAAAAAATTTCTGGTTGTGTGTCTGTCCACAACCTTGAACTCCTTTATTAATAATAATGAGTGTACAAGTACATTAATGAGAGTGAGGAGATGAAAGGTCAAAGAAGATGAAAGATCAATTATAGAAAATACAGAGGAGTCTATTTAGCTACCAATAAATCTTGATAAATCTAACACCTACGATTTACGATCTTTAGGGCTCTTTCCAATCCTACGTAGGATCTTGTGTTTGACTATCATAGTACTACTCACTGTTCTCGAAGAGATTTGACATTCAGATCCATAGGTGTGTCAACTAGTTTGCTATCCAGCTTCTTTGTTTGCCTAAGAGTGTCTATTGTATACTTTCTTTGAGAAATGTATATACCTTGTATAGATTGACCCACTCCAATACTGAGAAAATACTTCAAATTGCCAAGATCTTTTGCCTTTAAAAGAGGAAACAAATGTGTCTTAAGTTGATTTATTCTCTCCATGCCATCCCTTGTGATTACAATTTTATCGGCATAAACCACACAATAGATGTTCTTCCCTGATGAATGTGTTTAGAAAACAGAATGCCAAATTGTCGATCAATCCCACTGCATCACCCAAACCATGCGTGGGGAGATTGCTTTAAACTATATAGAGAGCAATTCCGGCAACGGGCTAAGCTGGTTCCTCTTTGAACCACAAGCCTTGTGGCTGTTCCATATATACCTCTGATAGGTAGCGTAACAATCACAGGAGAAACTCGTAGCATATTGATGAAGATTTAATGAAGGAAAACAGAAAATAACTTTGAGACTCTACGAGTGGGGTCTCGCACTCCCAAAATCCCAATCCTGCTCCCAAAATTCTGCCTGCCCTTCTACTCATAGCTCACCCCTATTTATTTTTTTTCACGATGGGCCCGCCCATTTCTAGTTTAGTTATAGGGCCTAAACCCCTTTTATTGTACAGTATTAAAAGACTTGATAGTTTTCTTATTCCCGTATTGTTTTGGGTCTCTATCATCACTCCACCCTTGAACTACCACCTTGTCCTCATGGTGGGTAGTAAGAAACTGATCTGGCATTTGGTTTCAGCGGGTTATCTGCTACAGCTCGTTCAGGCTGCTGATGACTTTCTCTTCTTCTGGTCTTTCCATCAAGACGAATTGATAATGTTTCATTCCACAAACATGTTCTTTACCCCATTTGTCTCCACATTTGAAGCACACACCCTTTTTACTTCTTTCTAGCTCTGCTTGTGTCGATCTTTGACCTCCCTCCCATGTCTTATTCGGTTTTGGTGATTCCTCCAGTTTGTTCTCTAAACGTGTTCTCTCAGGAGTCACAACAGCTGTTCTTCCCTTCGCTGCTTCCACCCAGTTCAAGGATCTAACCATTTCCCCTCCCTGTTCCTTCCAGCCTTTTTTGTCTTCCTTATTTTTTTTCCCTTTCTACACCTTGTTCTTCTCTTTCAACAACAAGGCTTTGTCCATCAGATCAGTTAACCCACTGGTCTGGTACAACTTCAGCTCCGTGCTAATTTCTTCTTTAAGGCCATTGAGAAACACTCCTTTTATCATCTCTTGGTTAGCAAGTTTGAGAGGAGCTACAACCATTTCAAAGTGACCCCGGTACTCCATTACTGAATCAGTTTGCCTAATACTGAGCATAGGACTAAACGGGTTCTGTACTAAGTCAGGTTGGAAACGCCGGATCAAAGCCTCTTTGAAGTTAACCCAAGAATGGTCAGCTGTCTGTTCATCTCACCACTGGTACCAGTTCAGAGCCTTTTCGGTCACAGCTATCATGACTATTTCTACTTTGTCACCCTCCGATACATGATTTAGTTTAAAATAGTGTTCAACCCTGATAAGCCATCCATGAGCATCGTCTCCGCTGAACAGCGGTAAATCCACCTTCTTACCATATAAACCCGATCGCTGATTCTTGTATCATCAGGAGTACGTGAAACAGATTGAGATTCATGAGGGTTACCTCCAGAATTGGACGAACTCACGCTGGCTGAAGTCTGGCGTCGACGATTGGTGGTCGATCGTCCCCCTCTCCTGCGACTGCCCTGGACTTCGAGACTATGCATCTTCTCCAGCAACACCTGCATTTTCTCGTCCATCAAGCCTTGAATCTCCGTTCGCATCTCTTCCCTTGAATGCTCCAATGATCGCTCCAAACTTTCAATCCTCTGTTCCATGTTTGACCGAGTGAATACCATACACAGGTGCAATGATTGTTTTGCTCTGATACCAAGGATAGGTAGCGTAACAATCACAGGAGAAACTCATAGTATATTGATGAAGATTTAATGATGGAAAACAGATAATTTTGAGACTCTTCAAGTGTTCTCGCACTCCCAAAATCTGAGCCCCGATCCCAAAGTTCTGCCTGCCCTTCTAGTCACAGCTCACTCCTATTTATTCTTTTTTCAGATGGGCCAGCCCACTTCTATTTTAGTTATAGGGCCTACTGGCCTAAACCCCTTTTATTGTACAATATTAAAAGACTTAAATAGTATTCTTATTCTAGTATTGTTTTGGGTCTCTATCAACCTCTTCTTTAAAAGCACCGCGGATAAAGGCATTCTTATGTGCCACTGATATAATGGCCAATGACGATTGGCTGCCATAAGAGGAAAAGGCAGAGATGATCATTCTTTACTACAGGTGAGAAAGTGTCTGCATAGTATATGCCAAGCACTTGTATCGTTTTTTAAAAAACGAGCTTGTCTGTTTGACTATCTGGAGTCTGGACCCATCACATTGTACACCCATTGAGAACCAACCACGATATTTTTCAATTAAGAGTCAAAGGAACCAACTTGAGTCTTGGAAGGGTGAAGTGCTTCCATCTCATCTGTCGTAGCTTGTCGCCAACCTGGATGAGTTAATGCCTCCTTCACATTTTATGGAACATAAATGGAAGACAAGCTGGTACCAGAAGCACAATATAACGAGGACAAACGTTCATGTTACATATTATAGATGCGACGAGAATTTGTTTGTTAACTAGAGGAAATTTAGACACCCAAATATATTTATTTTTGTAACGAAGTGTCTCGTGTTGCAGATGGTGTGGAATAGATAACATTTGTATCCATGGAGATATTTATATATACCACTTTTCCAACTGAATGTTTTTTCTTGTAAATGGCATTTTCAGGAGTCTCCCCAAGCAGCAAGAGTTAAAGTGCTGGCAAGTGGAAATGCAACTGAAAGAAGGTTCAGGTTGGGCTTTACTCTTTAGTGCTCGCCTCTTTGGGTCATTTAGGGGATAAGAAAATGCTTGGGAAAGAATAGGGGGAGATTAGATGGAAAGAAAATTTGAGTGAAAAAAAAGATACTAGTAATTTCTAACTTGAGAAATTTTATTTAGATTTTTGTTATAACTCATTTTATTTATTTATTTATTTATTTATTTATTTTTATTATACCATGACTAAGAAATAACATCTAAATACATTCAATGATACAAATTTTTAGAAAAATTATTTCATTTTCCTAAAGTTATAACTCCAAACATAAGAAATCAATACTCCTAGGTTTTTATCTTTTTGGGGGAATTTGACTTTCCACCCGACTTTTTGGGTGATATTGGACTTTGTACCCTATTCCCAGAAAACTTAGTGCATGCAACCCATCAGCAAAAAAGTTGTGACGGATTAGGGTGCAAGGTGAAATGATTTTATAGTAGAATGGGGTGCTGAGTCCAATATCGCCCAAAATATGGGGTGCAAAGTCAATTTTCCCCTTTCCTACACTTGTGTTTTGTTCCAAATTTACTTATTCCTCTATTCATCCAGATTTTACCACCGATCTACATCTTCAAATAGTAGTCATGCTTCTGCATCCTTTCACTCCTTTGAGGCCCCGTCAAATAAATTGCAATTCTTTTAAATCACTTTGTGCTTTATCAGTTCTTAGTTTGATTCAATTATCTAGGATTAACGTCTAATTAGCTGTAATTTTCCCATCAGGACATCTACTCTCATCTTCACTCAAGTTCTATAAATGATCAAACAAATGCATATCATGAGCGTGATATCATAATGTTTATGATGGGGTTCAAATACGATTTTCATTAATACATATATCTTTAATCTTCTTGGTGGGTCCACTCAAAACTATTAAAATGCTAGGGAAAAATTATGGTAGAAAAGAAATTTGAATGTTTGAACTCCTTAAATCAATTTTCGATATATGTTTAAACTAGTATAGTCGTATTGTATAATTATGGGGTTTAATGCACCAAACCCCTCGTGTAATATAAATTCGGCGCATTAGCCCTCTGTGATTTAAAAAATGCGCCTAACCCCCCTGTGTTATAGTTATTCATGCGCAAAACCCCTTCTATGAACAAATTTAATTGCCAAATAAGTGAAAAATGATTAGTTTTTTTGTATGATTTAGAAATTTTGACAAAGTTACTTGCATATTCAATCATATTATTAAGAAAAGTGATATTAAAATTGTATTTGTTCTTGGAGGGGTTTTTGCGCATGAATAACTAAAACACAGGGGAGTTTGACACATTTTTTAAATCACAGTAGGCTAATGCGCCAAATTTATATTTCACGAGGGGGTTTGGTGCATTAAACCCTATAATTATGTTACAGACTTTTTTTGACACATCTATCATATGATGGCTAAGAAATTTAACTATACGAAAAAGTTTACTAAGGTTTATGAAATTCTTTTTTTTTTGTATTTTCCAAGATACAACCAAATATAGCTTAGTTTCCCCTTTCCTTAGTAGTTTTCTCATTCCAATCATAGCCCAAACAGTTAAAAAGAAAATTTCTGGTGCAGCCAATGCACAAGTAATTGTTCATAGTCCACCTTCCATGGGGGGAGGATCCTCTATGGCTCTACACTTAATAATTACACCCTTTTGAAAGGTTTATTGACTTATGGTGGAAGTTGAGCACTCTAAATTAGATCAACTGCTCTAGCTAATTAATTTTCTAGCATTTACAAGATAACCGAATGCTTAAAGAAGTGTTTGTTCATCTTTTTGAAGCTGACTGCTGTTTCAGACAAAATCAGAAGAATCGGTTTAGGTGTTTAGAAGAAATCCTAGAAGTGATCGAGGGTCCTTAAAAACTACGGAGTAATCAGTTTCAGAAACAGCTCGCCTTATGATTCTGTCAACTGATGATTGATTATCATTTTATAACATTTTATATTTTTTTTATGTATAGCCATCTTATTTGGGAGTCACATCACAACCCCCTACCAAATACTCAAAGCTTAATTCTCATTTTCACACACCAAAACCAGAACCATTGACAATCACGGCTGAATTGATCATTTGTTTCTACAACACAAATTCTGATTCTCAGGCTCATAATCCTGATTCTCAGGACCACCCAGTAATGGTAAATAAGGATATAGATTTGTAGTTAAAAATGACTTCTCACATTACATTTATGCAGTGTGTGGATAGGCGGCAGTATACTGGCATCACTTGGTTCTTTTCAGCAGATGTGGTTTTCAAAGTCTGAGTAAGTCAATTTATTTCCCACATATTTTATGAAGAATACAGTCGTGAGCTTGCAAGAATAATATGACCACTACTATGATACGGGGTATGTTTTTCTATGGAGAGCTAACCTCTCTATAAAGGTAGTATGGTGTCGATATTAATTACTTGGAGGAGACCATGCACACATGGTGTAAGGCCCTGTCTGCCACATGACTATCCATATGTCACTCTACATCAAGCTGACCTCTATATTACAGGCCTTAGCTCTCTATAGAAAATTCACTCTATGATATAACAACATAACATGCCAAACAGGTATGAAGAACATGGGGCTTCGTATGTTCAAAGAAAATGCCCGTAATCTGCACCAGTTGTCCAGCCTGTGACTGACATCCTGTAACTCATAATTTGCATCTCGTATCGTCTAACTTTGGATCATGTGCATGTTATGAACTTGGGTGGTTAATATAGATTTTTGCAGCTTTTACAGTCTAGTTAATGTTAATCTGCCATTTATTGTTTAGCTTCTAGTCTAATACTACTTAGCCTGAGGAAAAAGATGCAATCTGTAGTGTATAAATAATTGTTTTGGTCATTTAACATTATCTTAGGATTTCATATGTAGCTTACCTACTGCTTCATCGACATGACTTGTTTACTCATATTTAAAAGCAGTACATAATTAATCTCCCAGAAAAGAACCTGGTTTGCTTCAGTAATTTCCTTGCAATTCACCGCGTTTGTTTTTTAGAAGCTTTAATTAGGAAAAGTAGTGTGCATTATTATCAGTCTAAGTGTCATAAACGAGATTCCATTAAGCTTTATTCTGGGAAGGTAATGTTTACTAGGGTTGGATGCACTTTCGCTTCCCAACTGGAATCAACCAGGACTGTCCACTTATAAATCGGAAATTGAACGGTCAGGCGGTTCTAATTCACTCATTATTGAGTCCTTGTACCGACTTTTGTACACACATTTGTACCCGCCCTCCTATTTTGTCTGTGTACACAGGCATTTGGGAGACAAATGCTGCCTTGTTCTTAAAGAATTGTCTGTGTGCACAAGCAAAATAGGGGTGGGTAGAAACAGGTTTTTTGCTCATTATTGAAGTGAACTTAATAATATGACATACTTAAAATTTAAAATAATTCTGTCTCATTTAAATTACTACCTCCATCCTATAATGTAAGATATATGTGGGTTTGGTTTGAGTTTTTAGAAAAAATAAAGGAAAGATAACTTTAAATAGGGAAAAATAGTTATAGTACCCCAAACTTTGAATGAATGTGAGATAAAAATCACAAACTTTCATGTCATTTAAATACCCCAAATTTTATATCAAAAGTTATTTTAACACCATGGTTATGCATCATTTCTTTCAAAAATGTAAATTTATGGTGTTAGTTGCATAATTTAAATTAGCAAATTGAAAATGTTGCACATATATAGTGTGGAGGGTGATACTATTTATTTTACAATAGAAATTTAGAATGTTAATTGTATCTTTATGAATGCTAAAATATTTTAAATTATATCGCAAAAAAATATATTTTAAGTTATGAAATTAACAACAAAAATTGACATTTTTGAAAAAAGTTAATACATGACTGTGGTATTAAAATAACTTTTGATATAAAGTTTGAGGTATTTAAATTACATATGCAAGTTTGGGTTGTTTACTTATACCCTTTCAAAGTTTGGGGTATTTTAATTATTTTTCCCTTTTAAATAATACTCCCTCCGTCCTTTAATTTTTTTTTCATTTTTCTTTTTTGGGACGTTTCAAAAAATTTTGTCACTTTTCCTTTTAATTAATTATTTTGTGGTTTCTGTTATTTCTCTCCTCTGCACCAACCGTCTTCCATGAACCAAGAATAATACATACTTTACATTTTTTTTTAATAATATCAACTATTTGAAGGTAAATAAAAGAAAAATAGTGTCACTTTTTTACAAGTAATCCATCCATTTAGGTCATCACAAAAAAATATCAAATCATCAAATAATTGATATTTAGAAATACGGCCGTTTATTTGATATTTTTGGTATTAATTTTTGATGAGTTAAATAATTGAATTTTTAGTGAAAATTTGCTATAGATCACTTTTGATATATATATATGGGTGAGATCACATACAAACCATGCTTAACTTACTAACCTACAAATTCAATAATATGCAACACTTTGAACTTCAATATGCAGTACAAATAATGTAAAAATGCACTCTTTGAATTTCAATATGCAGTACAAATAGGCCTTTCAATGGGTCGAGTCCGGGTCGGAACGTAGTGTTCCAGACCCGGACCCGCTAAGTTAATAATGGACCCAAACCCGACCCATTTATCCGGCGGGTCTGAAAATTTGGACCCGGACCCAGACCCAACGGGTCTCGGAATCGGGTCGGGTAGACCCGCCCACCAAGTATGATACGCACACCATTATAAACTTTGTGAAAATATCAAGACATGTATGTGAAATATACAACAAAGTGTATAAATTTAAAAGCAAAATATATCTCACTTTTTAAAAAAAATCAAGGTCCCTAATAGAAAATTAGTACTTTTATATAATAAAATATCGGTTCTTGTACATGCATATAGCTCCACACTTTGCGCCGCTTTCTCTCGCACAAAAAAACTCGTAGAATAAACTAGAAATTAAGTTATAAAAATGTCTCTTGGACTACTAAGAGTATAAAATCATATGTAGTATTATATATGATAATGATATAAGAATATTAATAATAATAGTAATAAATATTAGTTTTAGGGTATGTTACTATCTTGATCAGTATCACTTATATAGTATTTATGTATTAATGTGTATATTTTTATTGAATAATCACAAATTCACAACTAATAACTTTATGTATTATTATGTACTCCCTCTGTTTCTATTTTATCTTCCAAATAGGCTTGGCACACAATTTAAGATAGCGGGTATTGTGTGGTGGAGAGTTGCGTAGGGGAGAGAAAAATGTGCAAGAAATGTTGTGAACCACAAATTCTTTACTAAAAAGGGAAAATGAAAGTTTTAATTGGAACGGACGAAAAAGGAAAGTTGGAAGTTTTAATAGGAACGGAGGGAGTATATATGTATATTAGTTTCTATTTTATTTAAAGTGTTATAACTAATCACTTTATGTTTGAGTGTATGTGTATACAAATAAGATATTTTAAACGGGTCCGGGTCCTTAACGGGTCGGAATCATACCCGACCCGTTTATTTAAAATACTAACGGGTCCGGATCCGGGTCCGGATAAACGGAATAAAATATAGACCCGTACCCATTAAAAACAAACGGGTCCGGGTTAGGTCCGAGTCTAGACCCGACCCATTGACAGGCCTAAGTACAAATAATGTAATAATGAGCTGACTTATAATCTTTTGTGAGATTTATAGATGCACAGCGGAAGTCTTTAACCTCTAGATGATTAGTATATTACAACTTTCTAGCTTGGGTGATGCTTGGACTTAAATAGTGAGCAGTTGGCTTGGCAGTTGCATGGATGGCTGAGGCAACTGATAATGGAAAATAGGAGTTTGGGAAAGATAATTATATGGCCTTATACAGAATGATGAGAGCTTTTTGAAGAGACACTGAGCTAAGTTGAAAAGGGAGTTTTGCTTAAGAAGAGGTCTAAGCAGTTGGGAAGTACCAGGAAACTGCTAAGGTACCTGCTGCGTTTGAAAGATGTATTTCCGAGAACTGGCAAAGCGGACCTTTTAGTAGTGATGTTCCAAGGCTCTTGTGAAACAATTGTCTCAAGAAAAGTAAGTTATTAAGGAGTAGGATAAGCAGTAAAGTCAATTGAGACTACTGCTTAGAATGTTGCTGGCAAACTACGATCCCTTTTGTGAGAAGTGTTGGGTGTGTGCTTTGTTGAATGAAAGAAAATCAACACACAGTATATCCTGGTTCAGAGGTGGTGTAATCCTCCTACACTTAAGTATTAAGCCCAATACACTTAGTGTCAATCTAGCTTTGACAACTCTGGCCTAGATTGAAGGTGTTTCACGAAAAGTACAACACCACTTCAAGCTACTCAATCCTTTAGGTTTTTCTCGATTGATCCGGTGGGGATCAAAATGTACTCTTGTCCTATCTAAACACACTCAGGCCGGGAAAAAATGTCCTCCTGAGTGTTTACAACACCTTGTGAAATACAAGAAAGTCATGGCCACCAACTAATAGTTAAACTTACGAAATAAGGCAATGACAAATAGAAACATGGAAGTTTAGTGAAGCATGAGTCTAAGCAGAGAGTAAAGTTTAAAGTAGCACTTTCTCTTTTACTACATATCTTTTGAATGACTATAAGTGTTTTTCTCTACTTAGATGGTTCAAAGCTTATTTTCGAACTCATGTTTCGGTCTTTATTTATAGGCGTCTCCGGTAGATTAATCTCATCCATTTGTTGAGATGACTTAATCTTGGTCGTTGAATCCTTGTTTCAGACGATAACATGTTGTTGTTTGTCTTCTTTCTCTGGAGCCTATTTTGTTTTTGCTAGCCGCTGCAGACCTAGGCTGAACATCCCATGCTTTGGGTCCCTGTACTTTTTCCAAGCATTTAATTTGCTCGTCACTTCTTGTCTTCAATTATATATGCAGTGTATGTAATTTACGTGACCTTTATTTGTGACATTTTTTCAACCTTTGAGACTTAATTAAATGCATGCTGGTAGGATCTAAATATCCTATTAAGGTAAGAAGAAATTACCTTATTGCATTTTGATTTTTCCGGTAATATTTTATTAGTCTAAAAAATTGTACATTTATTTTGTCACCTATGATCAAGTATCAATACTCGAATTTAGGTACACAAATACTTGATTTAAATAAGACACAATGTACAGGTACAAAGTATAGTGGCATAATCAAAATCTATCAAAATTTGGTACTAACACATTCCCCAGCGCATTGCACTTCTTCACCTGAAACTTCCATTATATTGCATCTGTTCAAGAAAAGTGCCAGCCTCTTGACTCAACCAGCTCTAGACTCTAGTCCACCACTGCTCAAGCTTCTCTCACCACCACAAATATCACTATTTTATTCATTTAATCAGATGATTATCATTATCCCCATAAAGCATTACATCTACACACAAAAAATACTCAATTAAAGATTTATGAAGTATCTTCCTAAATATCACGATTCAATTGAGTCCCATTACAAAGTTCATTGTAATATTAGCAATTTGTTGTTGCTACACACAAGTAGGGGTGGATTCAGTTCGGGCCACCCGACCCGTGACCCGGCCCGGCCCATTATGAGAATATGAGAGTAGCAATGTGAAAACAGACGAGGAAGTCAGATAATCGCTGTCGCGATTTCAGAATGCAACCTTCTACCATTTTATTCATATATTTTGATTGGATGATCCAAATTCAGTTTTGCAAGTTTTGGTGGATAGAGGACTTCATATAAATTACGTGGCACACTTATATGCATGACTAGACACACGTTGGAAACTTGGTAGTCTTATTTCATGGATCGTATAAATGACTTGTCATCTCCATGATTATTGACTGACCCGCTTAGCAAAATTGGTTGCAACACATCTATCTTTGAATATTTTATTGCCCATGATTTTGGTTGACCATAGCTCTAAAAATGAATATTCTATTACCATATAAATGATATATTACGATATTTATTGTGCATCGAGATTTGATTTCCACATGCAATAAGGTCGAGTGATTAAAATCC